ACCCTTTATCATCTTTACGTGTGTTGGATATGGTGCAGTGAGTTTTATCATCCTACTATTCTGCTACTTTGAAATCATCCGTGGCTTATACTTCACGAAAACAATTTGCTCCGAGTCGTCTGCAACGGGAAGCCGTGAAAAACTAGAAAAGAAACGACTGGCTAAACTTCTCATTTGGCTCACCATCATTTTCGCCCTCTGTTCTTTGCCATTTGCGGTATTTTTCATATTTTTAATCTCCTCTAAACAAGCATTCGTCCAGGATAATTACAATACACTCCATCTACTTCACAGACTATGTCGCCTCTGTCTTTTTTCGAACTCCTTTTTCAATCCATTACTTTATGCTTTGCAAAGCACCAACTTTAGGGACGGTTTCAAGAAAATCTTCGAGAGCTGCATGCTCTTTAGAGCCTTTAAAGACTTCAGAAGAACATCTCATCAGTCATATCGTGTGGAACTAGATGGACCTGCTAAACTGTAAGGTTAGAGGAACAGTTTTGTTCCACTGACTAGGTAAAACTGTCGCCGCATTCGAAGCAATCACCATATTCATCTAACCCATTTAGAGGGACTATAATTACAACACAATACAATACTTTATTTATACACGTAACACCAAGGAGCTCCTGAGTGCTCGTTAAAACGTGTACGTGAGTATTAATGTAAAACAATAAAATTGTACAAAATGTAAAAGGATAAAATTAATCAATTAATCAATAAATACTACCTAAATACTAACTAGTAATAATCTATGTACAAAATTTAACAACTTTAAAAATTTAAAAAGCTCTTCAAGTCATATGAACATTAAGAGCCCGCTTAAAAGATACAGTGTCTTCGGACTCTCTAACCGTTGGAGGCAACGCATTCCATAGTTTACTGACTAAAAAGGTAAAAGATCTATGCATGTACTCCAAGTTGAATGTGGGAAGTTCCAACCTGGTGCTGAGCCCATGTAAGTTATATCTAACATTCTTAAGGTTGAAAAACTTACTAATATAGGGTACTCCGTGGCTATACAAGCACTTGTATAACATAACTAGCGACTGGAATTGCCTGCGTTGTTCCAAAGACTGATATTAACTTTTTTTAGGAGGTAGTCGTATGAAACAGACTTCGGAAAGCCTAAGATACTTCTTAATAAATAATAGTTAGTGTTCTCTATTTTGGTAGTCTCAGCATTACCTATACACAGCAAAAGAGGGCTGCAATACTCAAGATGTGGGAGAACATATGCCTTTTAGAGACGTATCATTACATACTTCGGAATAAACTTGCGTAGTCCCCGCAAGGCCGAAGCCTTCGCGCATGCTTTTTTCAGCTGTTCCTTTATGTGCGCCTTAATGGTTTGTTTACTGTCTAAGACTACCCCTAAGATCTCAAGTGCGTCTTGCTTCTCAACCTTCACATTATTGAGATGAAATTCATATTCATATAATGACGGCCCGATGGCAACAGTTTGCGTTTTAGCGGCATCAATCTTTAAGTAATTTAATCCGAACCATCTTAATAGCACGCTGAGGTCAGAGTTAATATCACACTGCAGAACTGTCGGTGAGACATCCGAGGCATATTCCGTCGTGTCATCAGCATACAGCCTTAAGGACGCATTAGAAACGAAGTAATTAAGATTATTAATGTACATATTAAATAAGAGTGGACCTAACAAGGATCCCTGTGGTACTCCGGTTGTTACAGTTCTCCGCGGAGAATATACTCCCTCAAGTTTAACACTTTGTCTTCTACCTAAAAGATAGGCTGTCATAAGTTCCAAGGCATCATCTGTAAAACCATACGCTTTCAGTTTGGCCAGCAGAAGGCCAAACGCCCCCTATAGCATGCTCTACTGTAAATAAGAACTGATCCCGGCCGCTCCTCCATTTATTAACGATTATTTTATTTGCATGTCCGCGAGTATAATAACAAGGACATGCTCTCTTTACAATGCTTAAATGTAAAGCTCCTACCTTTAGTCTTACTTCCATTAGAGACAGTTGTTGGGTCTTGCATTATGAAATTATCTGATGAAATATCAAATCTTGTAATGCATGAGCTTTGAATGGTGTCAACCCTTCAAGTCCCACCAGTGACTAAGACAGAATTTCTTCTTACACTATCAGTACAATATCAAGCAGAAAAGTAATGAAAATAAAGATAAATATCAATTAGGGGATTAGTGGTTGATCCAATTCCAATCTCTCCAAACTAACATCATATGAATAGTATGGCAGACAGTAAGGAGAATTACTAATGAGATCTTGGGAGTTAAAGTGTTAACCAGCAGAACTTTAATTTAATCCTATTTGATATTTTTATGGTCTTATTAATCATCGTAATTATATTCACAACTAGCTCAGCTTATTTACCACCTCATTTAATATATTTTCCAATTACCTAAATACGTCAGCAAAAATAAACCCTTGCTTTTGTCTGTCTCGACAATCTGTGTTTGTATAATTTAAAAGAAAAGCGCAGAAAAGTCTACTTTTAATGATTTAAGATCGAAAATAACTTCAAATCACTTGCTCGTTATGACTGAAATACCATAAAAACTCTTCATGCCTTTTTATATTGTCCTGCCAAGACATTCTGAAACATTCACCTCAGTGGTCTAACTGACAACGCAATACATCTCGCATTTACTCATCTCTGCTGGAAATCCAGAGATAATAAGCCTTTCTGTTGAGACAGCCGATGAAAGCAATTGTTAAAATGCAAATATTTCTTTTTTACACGAAGAATAGATTAACCTCATCCATGTAGATTTGGGAACATGCCTGTTGTTTCTCCAGCTTTGTATTGCATATTGAACTAAAAGTGATGAAGGGAAAATGAGAAGAGGCATCATTTTATAAAAAAAATTAGGCTTGAGGTGAAGGTGGATTAAGTCAGCTTACGAGGTAGATGTGGCCGTCCTGCAGAAGCGAATTCTATTAAGTGAGCAGAAGTGTTTTAAAAGGTAAGTTTCCGTGAACGAGATGGCAGCCCATTTAACTGGGTTACCCACGTGTAATTCTTCAGGATTTCCCGAATACTCTGTCTGTGTAGAGAGAGGCACTGTGAGAGGAAAAGGCATTGTCCATAAAGACAACATAACCTAGCCTCTATGACTCTTAACTAATGCATAAAGTGGATGTCAACATTATTACCCAGAAAGAGTATGATCGGCGTTTTTTTTTCTGTGATGGACTAACAGAAATAACTGAAAGAGAAACTACTTAGCATGAAAACTATAGAAAAAGATTCTCGTTAGCTTTGGTTATTACATGAATCCAATCCAACTTAGTGTCATACAACAAAGCTATTCCTCCGATAGAACAACCAAGACATATCGAACGCGCCGTGGGGCGTAAGGAAGCGCCCTTGAAGAATTAAAATGGACTGGGCTGTAGAACAACCCAAAAACCGTTTGAGACCCAAAAAGCCAAGAAGACCGACACTCTGCACGTACTGATGGTGATGAACATTTTACTGGATGTCTGACGCAGTCGAGCAGTGAAAAACAGGGGTTGTGCAAAACTAAAGTCCTAAGATGGGGAAGTTTTACTTGCGAGGCAAAGAAAAACAAAAATCCATCAAGTAAAAGACAGGTGAAATTTTTCTTCTTGCAATGAAATTTCCAGAAAATGGGAAAAAATTCGTTTGGGTCTATCACACCACAAAAATCCGAGTTTGTATAATCATCACAAAGAAGTGTTCGCAAATGAGCCCTTTTAAGGGTAGAATGACAGGAGTAATATCATTAAACTTTTATACCTAATGTTGTGAATAATTTTTACGATGCAATTAATTAAAAAAGAAAACATCACGTAGTAACGTTTTCGTCAAAATTAAAGTTTTGAAATGGCTTTTCTCTTAATGTCTTTTTTGTGTTTACCCTTGTGTGTTGCGGACCTCGAAAAAAATTAATAAGACCACATTATATTTCAAACTGATTCAAATAATTCGGTATTTTGTAGCCAGAGTTGCTTCCATTAACAACGTGTGGAAATAAAGATTGCGTCGTTCACCTTCGCTGACATTTAGATGCTAATTGTAAGCTCTTACAGAGAAGGGTTCGATGGATAAGGCTGGTGATTTTGAAGAAAAGAAAGCAAGGAGAAAAGAAAAATATCTTAAGGTTTTCCGGGGATTAACATTCACAGAAGCTTAATTACTGCCTACAGTAGAACCTTGCGCAGCGCATGGATTCTATTATCATTGAAACATTTGAATCCAATATTGCAAACGAATCAGCTTCTTCTCGGGTTTGAATCTAAGTGGCGTGGCCTTTATGAATCTCCATATCTGCTTGAAAAAATGAATAAACCACTGCCATTGACGCGCTTGACTCTCAGGCTGGTATATTCAAATTTATATTAAATTTCGGTTGTCACTGATTGAAAGAGCGTGCTCTATGACAGTAAAGAGCATAGAGCTGAGCTGAAGATGTCACGCCGTCTGCCAAATTGTACTATGTCCAATCTTTTCAGGGTCTTTTCTCTAGTTTTTTTCTTTAATTGAAAGTGAAATTTCGGAACAGGCAAGTCGGCACAATCAAACAAAGGTTTGTAAACATGCCAGGCGCCGTAACTGACGTCATAGTAAGCCTAAACACTCGCTTGTTTTCGTATTTATTACAAACGGTTGCTATCAAGGAGCGGTATGCTTACTTAAAAACCTTCAGGCAATATTGAACTTAAACTATGAGTTCTAAACGCTTTAGATCAGTGGAAGCCGTAGGCTAACGTTTAAGATAATTTTAACGAGAAAACTCTCTGATGTCAATGAATTTAACCTGGGATACTCTCTAATTTTAGACACGGAACTGATCGACAAATTGAATGCTAATATATTAGGAAATTCGATTCACCTGTAGAATAATGGGAACAAAGTATTTACACAGCTAGACTTTCGAAATCTTGTGTGAATAAAAGGTAAGCTTAAACAATTGAAAGCCTCTCTTGTGAATCTTAAGGGGAGAATACTTGTCAAGCTGTTGGGAATATTAAGTAACACTCGGGGTTGTTCCTTTCTGAAGAGCGATGAGTTCCGCAAGTAATGAAACTAATTTTACCATCGACGGAGAAAATATACACGGAGTTACACCTGAAAACATTGTTTTCGCAACGATTTACTCAATCATTGTGTTTTTTGGTGTGATTGGCAACAGTATTGTGATCGCCATCGTGTGCAAAACGCCATCAATGCATACAACAACGAACTATTTGCTGGTAAACTTAGCCCTATCCGATTTACTATCGTTGTTATTCTGTCCGGGATTTTACGATTTTTCTTTACATAACGTAAGACTGAGTCAAACTACCGGAGATTTTATTTGCAAGGTATTTGCGGGAAACGCAGTTCTCTCTGTTACTGTTCTTGAGTCTATTTTCACCTTGACGGTCATAGCTGTGGAAAGGTACTTTTCACTTGTGAAACCATTTAACACAAATGCAAGACTTGGTAAAGGAAACGTCCGTTATGCAATCGTCGTAACGTGGGTATCAGCCTTGCTTCTATGTATACCAGGATTTTTATCGAACGACTACGATCCAGAGGCGAGAGCATATCCTTGTAATCGACCATGGACCCTCGATCGACTCACGCCGTTTAAAAGAACTTATATCATTGTATTTTGCAACCTGTGCATTGTGATGCCTACAGTTGTGATTTTGTTTTGTTACTGCTCTATTTTCTATGGAATACATTTTAAAAAGAACATCTGTTGTGAAAACACCGCTGAAAGTGGGAAGGCGGAAAAATCCAAGAAACGCCTTTTAAAGTTACTTATGTCTCTCGCCGTAGCTTTTGCTGTTTGTTGTATTCCATATGCAGTGTTCTTTATTTACGTCTCCATTATCACAAAGAGTAAACTGCATCAAAACTACGGGTCTCTTCACCTTACACACCGAATGGTTCGATTTTTTCTCATTCTTAATTCATTTATTAATCCCCTTCTTTATGCAGCGCAAAGTTCTAACTACAGGCAAGGACTGAGGATAATCAGCCGACGATTTTTACAAACACGTTCAAACAGAGTAGCAGAAAATAATCAAGAACATTTAGAACTGGGTATTTAGGGGGGATTCTGTTCATTTCTCTTGCACTTGTAGAGGTGACTTCCATGTATTCTTTTGTTTTGAACATACATGCAGTTTTACGTCTGTTAATAACCGAGTTTTTATTATATGTCAAAGCTATGCCACTTTGATCACCGAGCAAAAACCATTGCAGAGCCGATATGGTTGCTCGATATTACTCTCACGTAACCAATTTAATAAATTTATTGGTTAACGCTGATGAAGTCGATGAAATATATTGCGTGTGGAGATCAAAGAAAAAAATTATTTCCCTCTTCAGGAAGTCGTTCAAAAATACTCAAATAAAAAAGTTTAATTTTCCGCCATCTCAATGTCATTGTTATGACAAGTAAATTAATGTGGCATAGCTAAAATGACGCTTTATTTGGCTTATGGAAACAAGGTAGTGAAATGCATGGAATATTCATATTTATTAATTAATTATTCATTTGAGGGTACGTGTAAGTGACGCTGTGAATCGGCAGGAGACTATTCCCCAGTAGGCACTGAGGCCAAGTTCGGAGCCGGAGATTTTCATGTATGAAATAGATAAATGACAGAATACTTGACGCCTTTCGCTCGGCGATGTCGGCGCACAGTCTGTCTAAGTCGAAGTACTTAAAGTTGTTTCTCGCGCGAAAATTAACACTAATTTGTTTTGTTTATCTGTTTTCTTTTCGAGTAGACCTGAATGGACAACACTCCAGAAATCATGAATTTTCTGATAACATATGTTGGAGCACTTTCTGCTTTACTTACTAATGTACCGGCATACTCGGCGCCTGTAATTCCACTAAAAGCAGTCTTAGTTTCAAATAATTCCTCAACGACTTTTGTGCGAAGATTGAACCTACTATTTATATCAGGCAGCCGGGATCACCTGTCCCATTAAGATATTCGTGGCGCCTCTGAGTCCTTTTACAACAGCGTCTCTTTTTTTATTGAAAAAAAAATTCAGAACATGTTTGACGATCATAAATCGAATGTTGCCTATGAATTTGCTTAAAGCGTACTTCGTGGACCGCACC